TCTGAAAAATCCCAGGATATAGTAATCCTGTTCAGAAGTAATGGTATTAACATATGGAGGTTGAGCACTGCATGCACATAAGCCAGTAGTAAGCTGTCATGAGGGGAGCTGATGTAGATTCGGCTACGGTGAGAATTCAACACATAGCATATTCTCTTGTAAGCAGCAAGCTGCATTTTTAAAGGCTAAGATCATATAGCAAGCTAAATATTTCACTTACCCAGTATCTCCTAATCCATGAAGAAATATGACCTAGAAGTTAACAGCACATTAATTAGACCATTTATTTTTAAAAAATATTACATGGTACAAAGCTATCTACAGTGAGAATGCAGCTAACTCTTCAGCAACTACCCACATACTTCCATTAAATCTTGACTCCACATGTAAATAAATAAAGGGAGCTCATGTGATAAGGACAGAAGGATATAACTGTTGTTCTCAAACACCAGAAGTCATCTATACAGTAAGGCTTCTTTGACAAGCATAAACTCACAGCTGGTTCACATATTTTTGTATTTGGAGAAGAATATGAACAGTTGGTTGACAGTTCTAAGACTGCTTTTAATAACCATCTTGAAAACATATTCCATATGGCTAGAATTGGCTAGTATGTAAAGCTAGAATTCCCATAGCGGTGGAGTGCAGAGAAGTGGTTCAATTCCATCTATTTTGTATTCTATTTGCACCTTTAAGTTATAAGCAATATTTGATTGGAGGTTACTGGGTTTAATGCTTGTCTATTGGTATTTACAGTTGTCTATAGTGAAAGCATTTGTTGAAATGTATTTGGTAGTTGAACTGTGAACCACATTCACCTTGGGCACCTGCTTGAGGTTCACCTTTTTCTTTTTTCACAATGAATCCATCATGTATGTAAACAAGTCATTCAAAACTGCCTTAGCACAGCAGCTCCTCCATGCACTAACTATCATCCTGAGTACTGGACCACCATGTTGATCAGTTCCAACCTTGTGATTATGCCCATAGCACTGTAAGAAATGTAGTGTTGCGTTCCTCTGACTTGGTGGGACTTCCAAAGAATCATGCACAGGACTGCATTGCACATATTTTAAAGATAAAAGAATTTGGGGTGGGGAAAACCAGTGCAGCAAGGCACACATAAACTGTTCAACATACAGAGCAGTCACCTCACAGATCACTGTGTGTGGTCCCTCCTATGCAAAAGCACCTATGAGAACCAAAACCCAATTTGTATTAAAGTTTGTGTGATCCTGTTCTGGTGTGACCTTGTAGTATGAGCTAGGTAGCAAGTTTCTGAGCTGGGAGCAAAGCCAGGAAGCTCAGAACCACTTGGCAAGAAGAAACTGCATGCTGGTTGATGCTCTGGTGGTTCCATTTTTACCTCTGCCCTCAAAATAGCACTACAGAATCAAACTGGCCACTCATATGTCTTTGAAATAAATTGTTCTTGTTTCTTCCTTTCTTTCCTTATAATGAATGTTTGTTTAGTTTGTCCTTTCATTGTGATGAGCCTTTCTATATTCCTTTTCCTTATAATTATTATGAGTCCTCAGGGATATAGGGCCCCACCAACCTAATTAGAAGTAGCTTGTGCTGCTCATCAAGTTATTCATTATAAATTCTCACCACCTAAGCAAATAAAATGCTTAGGTGGGACACTCCTGCATGGAAACTGACACTAAAATAACTCACTTAGCTCTACTTCGCGCTTCTGGTTATTCTGGTGCAAGTGTTCATATTCCAAACACTTTTGAAAGAGACAGCAAAAGGTGATGAAATGTTTTGTTGCAGCAACAAATGAGAGCATGTGCTGGCCTCCCAAAGCCTTCTCAGCAATTTATCCGATTGCCGTGACATTCAGTTGCGATTTTCCCACCTGCCCACACAGGATTTGACACCAAGGCCGTGAAATGCAAAGTATTTTTAATTTTAACACAAGAAATTACTACTTAAGATCTTGCTCATAAACTTGGATTAGCACCATCTTAGGCAAGGAAAGGACCCAAGCGGCTGCACAGTCTTAATTAAGATTTTCAAGCGCAACAATGCTTTGTTCGGCTCATATTGTGAAACCTGGCGGTATTCGATTCTGAGCTTGGCCAGATTTTGTTTTTCTTCCCTGAAATGGGAGGAAGGGGAAGAGAACGCTGCTTGGTTTCTGCAAGAACTGCTTGCAGAATATGCATCTTTACCATATGTCAAAACCGCGCGTCTGTTCATACTGCGTACATAACATTCACCACACTTAAAAGAGTAAGCCCGGCTACCTCGAGCAAAACCCAGGACTTTTACCTACAAGGGGGCGGCGGCGACTGAGGTGCGGCTCAAGGGCATTACCGCCCAACGGGAGACAAGCGAGGGCGCCTGTCCAAAAGCCAGGCCAGGGGCAGGAGGCGAAGGGGGGGGTGCTTACGACACTGCTGTGGGCCCTCCGACTCCAAAGCAAGTCGCGCTGCGTTCCGCGGGGCTTCCTCCCAAAGAGTCGTTGAGTTTAGGAGTGCGACACCCAAGACGCCTCCCCCCCCCCGCCAGCCCCTGCCTGGTCAACTCTCCCCCCCCCCCCCAAAAAAGACCACCCCCTCATTACGAGAGGCGCCAGGCGCTGCCGCTCCTTCTTCACTCACCGCGGCGGTGGCCTTTCTGGCGGCCGGGACGATGGCTGGCAGCGGGGCAGACATGTTGTTGCCGCACATACACTGGACTCTCCGACCCGCAGGGTGGGCGGGGGGAGGCCGGTGAGAAACCGTCGCGGGAGGGAGGAGGAACGGGCGTGGCGGGGAAACGGATTGGAAGGAAGAAAAGGGGGAGGAAGCTGGGCCGGGCCCGCCTTCCCCGCCTCCTACGTCAGCGGAGGCGAGCGAGCGCACGCCCGTGCGTGCCTTTCTCTTGCGTGTGGCGTCAGCAAGCGAGGGCGGCCGTTAAAAGGGGGGGGGCCTCCAAAGCGTGTAGGCCTCTTCGGGTCGCTCGAGCGCCTGCTTTGTTTCTGTGGGATGGATTCGCACACGGGTGGTGGTGGTGGTTTGTTTTTTTTATTTAAAAAAAGCACCACAACGGCTTCTGCTCAGCCTGCTTCTAGTTTATTATTGCCGCCGCTTTTTGTTTTCTTCTCTCAAAAGGATGGGGAACGGGGTTTCCACTTCGTGGCCCGCAGCCAGGAATGATGGGAGTTGTAGTCCAAGCAACTTCTGGAAGTTTACCGTCAGGTCCCCGTCCCCCGTCCTCCCCCCCCCAGGTTTCCCCGCACCTGCTGTAGGGTGGCCGTAAAGAAAATGTAAAAGGCAAACCAAAAAAGCTTCAGAGATAAAAGAGGTACAGAAAAACATAACCAAAAGTCTTAGCTTTAATCTGCCATTGAAATCCAGAATATTGCCGTCCTAACCAACAAAAGGAACAGCCCGGACACAGCTTGGATTCCTGCCTTTTAAAACTGGTCTTTATGTAAGAATAATTTCAGAGGTTTTAAAACTGCCTCGGTAAAGTTTTTCAAGAGCAGCATATAAATAGACAGGGAGCTGCATTTGTATTGTAATTTGCACTGCAGAACTTTATTTTTATTTTTTTACAAACTTCAATGAAAATATTAAAAACATTTACCAAGCAGAGTGCTTCTTCCAAGACACTTAACATGTACAGATGTTAAGGCTGGTATGCAGTCATCTAAATGGCATAAAAATAAACCTGGGAAATCTTTTACATTACAGATTAAGCTCACATCCACAGGGCATACTGTAGGGCTGTTTTTAATGTTTAGAAACACGCAAATACAAAGATTTCCCGGGGGGCCCTCCCATACACAAAATAAGAGCACAAGTTCTTTATTTCTGTCTTGCTTCTGGGTGGGCTTGCTAGTGCCCAGCACTCGGGGCAAAGCTTTGTGGCACAAATCCAGGGCCCAATCAGCAGAATTAGCAAGGCTGGTTTGTGTCATTTTGAAATAAGTGAATACTTTCCCATCTACAGAGAAGTGGGATTACGTAATAACATTTCAGGTGTAAACTTACTCTTCAGGACTGTTAAAGTGGTATAAAACCATCTGAGTGAGATTGTACCTTTCTGCATCTGGTGAAAGGGGCTTCACAGCAGTGGAGCTCTGAAATGCCACCCACCTCTTGAAATCCAACTGACACCAACATTGGCTGGCTTTTTTTGCTGCTAGCTAGACTTATTTCTTCATCCAGGCTTTTAATGATGTGGTTTCTTGACGCAGTAAGGCTGTAATTCTACCCCCCCCCCGCGCTCCCCTGTTTACCTGGGAGAAAGCCCAGCGGGGTTACATCTGGGTAGACATTAGGAAAGATTTCAGCTGAGGCTACTGATTTTGTAGTATGGAGGTATGACTGACTTTCTATTTTCATTTTTTATTGTAATTGCATTGCTGTTTTCACTGGAATGGTTAGCTTGGTTTTATATTTAATGTACTCCACCCTAGAACCACTTGCGGTTCAGAAATGAAATAAATGATAGTGACAGCTGTTTTGCAGGAGACAATGTATTATTGTTGTTGTTGTTGAATTTATATACCGCCCTATACCCGGGGGGTCTCAGGGCGGTTCACAGAATATAGTAAATGTAGAAATCCAAATGCAGCGCAGCTGTGATCTAGCAGCGGTGTCAGCGTGCTTCCGCCTGCAACAGAAGCGAAGTCTGGAACCGTTGTCCTTCAAACTGAGATGTGATGCCCATTCCATTGAATTCAGACACGTTGTGCTTCCCCTCTCTCAAAACAATGGATAATAATAATAAAAATAAATAAATAAATAAAGGATTAAAAATACATTAAAACATCAGTCATTAAAAACTTCCCTAAACAGGGCTGCCTTCAGATGTCTTCTAAAGTTCAGTTACTTGTTTATTTCTTTGACATCTGATGGGAGGGCGTTCCACAGGGTGGGCGAGATACCAAGACAAAACGAGGAACCGGGAGAGGCGCCTCTCTATTATTTCTTTTCTCTACAGCTACAGCATGGGGTTGATGGTGTTTCTGCGCCGGCGCAGAGCCTGCTGATTGGTTCTCTCTCGTGGGCTCTCCCTCCTCCCGCCGCGCCGCCGCTTCCTCTCTCCTTCATTCATTGCCCTTCGCTCGCGCCGGGGGAGCGATGGCAGCGCAGGCTGGGGGAGGCGGAGGGGGCCGCGCCAAGGCCTTGGAGCTGCTGCGGACCTTGCCCAGGGTCAGCCTCGCCAATCTACGGCCGAACGATGGCGCCCGGAGTCGGGTGAGTTGGAAGCTGGCGGGTGAGGAGGGAGACCTTGGCCCCGCGGCTGCCTCGCTTGACGCTGCAGCGTTAGGCCGCCTCTGCGCTGCTAAGCGATTTTCCCTGCCTCCCCTCCCTTATTCAGTGCCGCCTGCCCTTTTTTTGATAGGGTCACTGGTGTCTCTAAAGGGACCCAGAAGAAACGAGGGGCACGTTTAGCTTATTTCCCGTAAGTGGCCCCCTTGTGTGACTTCATTTTCTGCACATGGTGGTGACAAAAGGATGCCTGTGTGCATGTTTTTACTGGACCCACTCATATTGCATCTGAGTACACAATATTTTCCCTAGAACCCTATGGCATCTTAAGTCTGCTCAGTTTATAGTGCATGATATTTACTAGGAATGAGCCTGCTTCATCTGAGGCATATGTAATATACTAATCTTACAGGTATATGTATATATATATACACAGACACAAGCACTAATATTTAAAAAGCTGTGAGCAGTGTCTAATGCCTATATATTTCAGTCATAGTTTTTTAGCATTGCTACTCTATTCTGTCCAATTCCCATATTCTAAAAATACTGAAACACTAGGCTACATAGAAAGTATACTTTTAAAGCACACACATATCCTAGGAGCTGTAATTTGTTAAGGTTGATAGGAATTGTAGCTCTGATGAGTAAGCTACACTTCCCAGGATTCAGAGGGCGGGCAGGTGTGCTTTAAATATATGGTGTGTCTCTTATGAGAGAGTAAAGTAGTTAGAATGTATGAAATCTGGGGAGGAATGATTTTTTTAATTGAAAAGGTGAAGTTTAATTTATGCTGCATTCATGATGCAAAATTCTCTATTCCAATTGCTTGACGTTTTATATAAATAATAGTAGAAACGAATTGAATTAGTCTGTACGTACAAGGAACAATATACTTTAAAAGTAAGCTGACACCAAAAGATGGAAATAATCTCTTGCTCACAAAATCTTATGTCACAATATGCTAGTTTGTCTTTTTAATGCCATGGGACTGTTTGCTGCAAGGGCTGGAGCTTTTCCAGTAGGAAGCATGATTTGTGCAATAACCGTCAGTCATTTTTTCTGTATGTAGCAGGGAACCCATTACAAGTTGTGGAATTTATTTTTAGACTATTATCTGACAGCTTCCATACCTCTACCTCTTTCCTACTCACTTTTCTACTCCACTCATCTTGCTGTGGATTATGCAAACTAATGGGGTTTTATTTTGTGATATGTTCCGAAAAGTCAGACCTTATTTCCTATACATGCTTACTCAGTATTAAGTATCACTGTATTCATTGGGGATTTTTTTCCAAGTATGTGTGCACAATGTTGTACAATCTTCTATTATATTTTTTTTAAGGGGGGTACCTGTGTCACAGAACTCTTTCACAAATAAACTGAATATGTATTATGTAACAAACTGATGTTTGGCTATTTCCTTTAGGAAAAGAGTCGGCGTGAAAAGACTCAATGGAGGAAAACAACTCACAGAAGCCAGTGGAAAAGAGGAACTCGTCCTCGATTAGGCTTTGAAGGAGGCCAAACTCCATTTTATCTAGTTATTCCAAAATATGGCTACAATAAAGGTCACCAGTAAGTTTGCTTCTATGATCATTTTCTTTTTAAAATGTCTGTAGTCAAAATTTATTGGAAAGCACAGTCCAAACTCCTAGCTGGGAACAGTGGGGTGGACTGCTGCATCCAGAGCCCCCCAGTTGTGACAGTGAAGACAGAAGGTGGGGCAGGGTAATTTAAATTATTTCTGCTGCACCATCTCCAGACTGGTGTAGTTGAAGGACACAGATTGGGGCCATTGTTAGTAGCTGGATCAGCTTTCAAAATCAATACACAGCACTATTTTAGGTCCATTAATTTCACGAGTCTACTCTGAGTATAACATACTTGGATGTAGCCCAGTGTATTTTACATTTTTTGGGGGGTGTCTTTTTAAAGTAAACCATGGTACAGTATCACTACATGCAGACATGTAGAAAAGCTTAAAGGCGCTGCTGTTTAAAACATATACATATATTTAAGAAGGTAAGGCAGAACAAAGATGAGATTTTTCACATCTGCGCCTAAATTGTTGAGAAATGAAAAAGAAACTAATTATTTATCTTTCCAGCCTCTCACAGAGGAAAGAGGATTAGCAAAATGCTCTTTTGATTCAAATTACTGTTTGTTCCACCATTCTCAAATCCCAAATCAGACCTGAGGTGCCTTGATAGAAGTAGGGGGTGTCTTGATGCACCAGTCATAACAGAAGATGGGGTTGTGCATTGCATTCAACAGCAGAACTCTACCCAGTTTTAATCTGGCACTGTACTTGGTTGTGTACAGAAGTGAGATCAGTTGGTGCACAGCTTAATCGTTTGCAGCTGGAGTCAAGGAACACTGTTAATAATGCTATCAACAACATGATAAAAGTAGATTGGAATCCTATTATAAGGAAGGAACAAGAAGAAAAAGTTCTATGACAGTATGTGAATATTTGACATGTGCGGAGACCATCCATGGTCCGGAAAACCTATCTTCTTCATGCAAGAGATAGTGTGTATGGAGTGAGAATCTCTCCACCCCCTGTTCAAGCAGCCCTTCCCTCATGCCTCATTGCAACCAGTATGTTTTTTATTAAAAAAACAACAACACACAACAATGATAAAATTCAGTGGGATTGCTTTCCAGGTACAATTGGGATAGGGAACCTGGTACTTCCCAGAAGGTGTAGGATTTTCAGTAGTGTGGGATTAAAGGTACTATAGTCCAGCAACATCCCTGTGATGGATATCTTGGGTTGCATCCTTTGCACTTAATCCAGTAGTAGAGCAGATTTCACTCACTTCAGTGAGACTTTCACAGTAGGAGCTTTGCAGTGCATTTTGTGCTTAGTATATTCTCATTAGTTCTGAAACTCTAAAACAGTTTTCCTTTGTTTGTACAGCCTCAGGCGCCAGTATCCGCCTCTCACTCTCAAAAGGCTACAGTACCTGATTGACTTAGGTAGAGTTGACCCCACACAACCAATAGACCTCACGCAGCTGGTAAATGCCAGAGGTGTAACAATACAGCCACTCAAAAGAGATTATGGTATCCAACTTGTGGAGGAGGTAGGTCTGTAATGCATGATATTTTAAGCCATTTAGTTTTGGGCATGTTCTGTTTTTTTGTTTTTGTTTTAATAGCTGAAGACAAGTAGGTATCACTCCACTAGAGAGCAGTATACATTATCAGATTGCTTGGTTTTGTTTTGCTGGGTAAGATACATTTTGAAATCAGATTATTTTAACAATGGGAAAGCATGGAAAAATAGATGAAAGTTAAATCCTAGTTTGGTGAGTAGGAGATGTTTGATCAAAATTCTTGGTGTTGTCAGGTCTTGCACACAAGTTTTTTTAAATGTAACATAGATTCCAGAGATGAATGCAGCAAAATGGGTGAACATTATAAAAATAAATTCAGAGTCCAAAGATGCAACTCATTCCTGGGCCATATGGCATTTTGGATTTGCAAAGCAAAAGCAATCTGCTTTTGAAACTCCAGAGAATTTCAAAATCTGTTTGTTGTATGTCAAAGGAGTCTACTTTTAAATAGCAGAAGAAAGCAGCCAAATGATTTTTTATAGTCTTACAGCTACTTCTGTGAAGGCAAATGTTGCATCCTGTCAGCTTGACTTGCTGGTGTGAATAGTTCAAAGCAAATAGGTTTTCAGTCTTTTTTATATAGAGATGTTTTTATGAAATTCTACATTCTGTTGTAATGGCAAATGCTAAATAATTTCTGTGATTCTAATTATGAAAGGAAGTGGTGAACCCTACTGAGCATCAATCTTGAGTGCAGCAGGATTGCTATTTCATATTTTCAACTGGGCTCCACAAAACAGCAGCTTAGAGCCTACCCCATGTTTCTCAAAACAAATTCCCAACTCTCAGGAGAGGATTTTTGAAGGGATACAGAGTGGAAGAAGGGATGGGAAAATTTCTTTCTGTTTGAGTTACACTGGTTTGGATACCAATATAAGGTATCCTTTGCTCTCTTTTGATGAAGAGTGATGAAAATTAAGTTATATTCCATGCACTTGAACGTCTGAGACCTATAAAAGGTTTTCAGTTCTTTGCTGCACATTATAGAGCATGATAGCTGAATAATAGGAGCCTGTTTATATGACCTAACCACTCTTCATGTGAATTTCTAGGGTGCCGATACATTTGCAGCAAAAATTAATATTGAAGTACAGATAGCATCTGAACTCGCCATTGCTGCTATTGAAAAAAATGGTGGCGTTATTACTACAGCCTTCTATGATCCAAGGAGTGTGGGTAAGAATTCTCACTGCCTCTGTCTGTCCAAGTGTTCAGTATTTTCTGTTTCAATGTTTATGTTCATTGCAGCTTTTTATCAGCATATACAGCTAGTCTTTTAGATGGTTCTTGAGGGCAACCCTTGCATTTTTCAGCAACAACAAAACGCAGAAATGAGCTATGAGCAGAATTTCACCTGCCATTTTAGCTGGGCTGATGTAAAGGGTTGGCATTCTTAGGCCTGCATCTTGCTAGGGAGCTCATTCACAAGACATGGATCCCCCAGCTCCTGCTGCTCTATCGCCTTTCTCTTGCTGCTTGTGTGAGCAGCAGCTGGAACAAGATGAGGAGGGAGCAATACTTTTCTTGCCCTCTGAACAGTCATGCAGGCTGAGCCCAAAAGAAGAGGGCAAATGAATGGCCAGCAGTTATCTGTCTGGAAATGGTTGTTATAGGTGGCTTGTAAGCAACACAGATATGTTAGCTTACAAGGTGGGCTGACTGAGCACATCTTGCCCATGGACCCTTTCTAAACCTAGCATTGGCACTGCATGCTTTCCTCAACAGCATGTCTTTAAATAAACTGGTGTTAAAATTTCATGAGGGTCTCTATTGCTCCTCCCCCCCCCAATCAACGTTTCACTTCATGTGTTTTGATTGCCTGCAAATCAGAGACCATTCCTCATTCAAATGAACTCCTGGATTTAGTCTATTGTGCCTCCATAATAGAATTCCAGGTGCTTCCCTTCCTGTGCTTTCCTTTTGCTATAGGAAAAGTAACTACTGCAAAAAGGTCTTGCCTACTGCACTTTTTGCCTTTTCGGTCCTTTAGATTTATGTGATTGCTTTATGTGAAGACAAGTTCTATGTAGGCAGCTACTTAAGCTATTAGCAGGGTTGGGGAACAGGATCTTCCTCAGCCCTGTCAAATGTCACTACTGAGGACATTACCTAAAGTTAACATTGCTTTTGATGTTAATATATGGAGAAGGCATTACAGTACCCTGGACCCAGACTGTTTATGGCTTTAAAGATAAGGAAATTATCCAAATTTAGACCAGAAACAAATGGATAGCCAATTAAGGTCATCCCGGATTAGTGCTTTATGAACTCTGTGGTCTGGTCCAGCTGTCTGCATTTCATTAAAATAAAAAATGTTTTCAAAGACTGTTCCATGTACAGCACAATGTGGTAAACTACTTGAGACATTAATGGGGCACATAAGACAGGGGCTAAACCCATTTTATCACAAATGGGTGCAGTAGATTTGTCAGCCAGTGCTGGAGAACAATCCACCCCTGTTTAAAACTGTTGCGTTGGCAAGCTATGGAGAGGAGTGTGATTCCTTTTCCAGCACAGGCATATTTCCCCATATCCAGATCAAGTGGCCCATTTGCCATCAGTAACTCAGTCTTGTCTGGATTCTGCTTCAGTGTGTTCACCATCATCCAGGCAGTTTGGCCAGTTTCCCTATGGAAAATAAAGGGAACAGACTTCATATTCTCTGTGCTTGACTTCATATCCTCTAATTGCTATAGATGAATTCAATACAGAAATCTGCTGTTGTGTAAACCGAATGGGCCCAAATAAGTTAAGCGGCACCTTTTCCAGATTAATTCTGAATTTTGAATGCCATTCGTAAGAGATTTCCCCACCAGAGGTATAGCAGGTGTATATGGTTTGGGGCACATTGAAAATTAAAATATTTATTTCTAAAACACCCTCCATCAGTTATGACCTAAGGAGGTTTACAGTCAAACACCAAAGCATTACAACATTAACATTCAATCAATAATTTCAATCCTATTTATAACCATATAATCAGAGTAGCTGACAACATCTATCAATTTGTAGCTGGTCTCCAAAGGCCTAGAAGGAAGAGGTCTTCAACCAGTGCTTAAAATCCATTTAGAATCCTATGACTGTGTCAGTCTTACCTCCAAGGGAAGGGTGTTGCATAGATGGGGAGCCACCACAGAGAAGGCCCTATTCCTCACTCAACAGCAGGATATAAGCTAAAGAACACAATATTCATACTACACCTTTTGGCAATGAAATCACAAATGCCAGAGTAGCTAATACTGTATTTTTTTGTTCTATTATTTTGCACATAGGTATTCTTTGCAAGCCAGTGCCCTTTTTCCTACAAGGCAAGCCTATTCCAAAGCGAATGCTTCCTCCTGAAAATCTTGTCCGTTACTATACAGATCCTAATAATCGTGGCTACCTGGCTGATCCATCGAAGATTTCAGAAGCAAGACTAGAGCTTTCCAAGAAATATGGTTATGTCTTACCAGATATTACAAAAGATGAACTCTTCCAAATGCTGAGCACACGCAAGGACCCCAGACAGATTTTCTTTGGCCTTGCTCCAGGTTGGGTGGTAAACATGCCAGAAAAGAAAATTCTGAAACCAACAGATGAGCGCTTGCTAAAATACTACAGCTCATGAATGCTCAGGTTGGAGGCAACTGTTAAAAGAACTCAATACACAAAACTGTATTGTCACTATTTTATATTAATAAACAGCTAGTCACGGTACAAATAAAATAATAAAATGTTGACTGTATAATAGTTCCATAATCTGTTCTTTAAAAATTCCTCCTTTATGTGAGATAAGTTGATTGGTATCAGGATTTCCTTATAAATGTGCTTTTCACCTGCTTACTATCTGCTTTACAGTGTATATATACATTCAACACCATCCTTTATAACTTTTCAATTGTTTCTGGAATCGTATAATCAAATATTTTGTTTTAAAATAGTAATCTCTGCAACTATATGTAGGCATCCTAGAGAAAACAAATCAGCTGGCACATATGAGCCTCTGAATTCCTCTGACTGGTGTTGTCTGCTCCCTTTTCTCTAGTCCCACAGTCACCTTTCTCAAGCTTTAAAGCATGCTGCGGTGCTGTCCCTGCTTCCTCTGCTGGCTCTTCTGCTCTGAGCCACTTGTCAAAACTACTAGGATGCTTCTTTTGATGTAGCACAAAACTCTGCTTGAGCAAGGAGCTAACCAGATGGCACAGAAGCATATTATACATATATTTTTTCAATATATGAAGAAGCCACAACTCAGTCTAAAGGCAGGTTTCATATTACTATGCGGTATAATTGTGGTAGCTGTAGATGTGGATACACCAACTATACTGAAGCAACTGAACTCCAGATTTTTCAGTAATAGTCATGTCAAACTCCCATGCATCAGCAGGGAGTTAGTTCCATGGTCAGGGGGAAGGCATAGCAGAAACCCTGTGTTGTGTGCCTACCAGGTGTATGAGAGATGGGGATGCCCTTGAAGAGGGTATGTTACATCTGCAGATTTTTTTAAAAAATCTGCCTGAATAATCAGAGCAGCTTTTTTGGGGACACACAAGAAATTCTGCCTTTGTTAATCCCTGTACGAAATGCTCTGATCTGTGTGTGTCAGACCAATGTGCAGGTTGAAACTTAAAACAATCCAACACATTTCCTTTTCTTAGACTGTTGCAACACAGTTCTCTGTAGTTTAAATGAATCAAATGTACAGTAAATAAGTATTAGACAGAAATTTGCTTTAAAAATAACTTACAGATTAATGCCCCAAATGGAACAGAATTACGGGTAAAAACATGCAAAAGTGCCAGGCAGTAGTTCCACACGCCCCTTCTATTTCATTGATTAAACCTTTTTAGTTGAGTAATGGTGGCAGCCCTTTGAATTGCAAGCTTTGATCTGCTTGCCAAGTGCCAGGCATGTAGTTTTTGTAACTTCTGTGCCAAAGTAGGCATCTTTCTTTAGGGTAGCACCTTTTGCTAAAAATAAAGGCCTCCAGCACATAATGTAAACACATGTTTCATTTTAGAGCATCCTGTTCTGTATCCTGATGATTATTGGGTTAAGAAGTGATACCTCTTGTTGTTGCTGTGCTGCTGGTTTAATGTGGAGAATGTGGGGCGAGGGGAAACATTTATTGCTTTCCCTTATTTGTGCTACAGTCTTCTTGGCTTTTTTATGAATCAATTCACAATTGTACTCTGGAAATGGACACATTCAACAGGAAAGCTACTAAACTGGCAGCAGGAGAGGAAGTTAGTCATCTTAATGAAGAGTGGAAGACAAAAGTGTTATATTATTTGTATATTCCAGCTCAATAGGTTTTTCATTTCCACTCAATTCTTTTTAGTAGGATGAACAACTTGGGGTGTGTGTGTGTCCTTAAAAACAAAACAGCATACTTTGGCTAGTGCTGTATTCTAAATAAACCTCAGGTGAAAGGGAAACTCTGATGAAATGATAATGGGGAAAGAATGAAAACAGGAAACAGATGTCTAGTGACGTGCACTGATTGGATAGTGCTTATTTATTAAGCACCATCTTAGTCACAAGGCAGCTGTATCCTGACACCAATATTATAATGGTATCAATACCTTAAGAGCCAAAACAGCCACGTTCCACAAAATCCGGTCATTTTATTTTATAAAGGTGATCCTATAATTGACTTACAATTGGAGGGGGCAGTATTGGCTAAACACACTGCCTTTCTGAAATGCAGCCCACCACTAATACTACCCTTTTTACACTTCTTGGTATCTTATAATAGTAACTGTTTTATTTACAAGTTTTAAGTTTGGCAACACTGAAGAGAATTTGCTATTCATTACGTTCTCTCATGAGACCAACAAAATCTTAGGCAGCACAATAACAATTTTTCAAAGGAACAAGGGTTCTAGCAAGAAAAACTACTCTTTCCTACGTTGCCCTGAAATGTTCCAAAATGCACCTAAAGCGAAGTGCATTTTTCACATGTTCAGGATGATTCGCTGTTTTGGCTTTCCTGTTTTGTAGCATACACAGAAATCTTGGAATGCCATAACAGGAAAGGCACTTTCTCACTTGCCACTGGAGAAAGATTTCATTTCTGCCAGGGTATACAAGAGGAATATTTGCACAATAATTTAAAATTTCCCTGAGGTAGAGGAAAATAAGTTTGCGTCCAAAGCTGCAAACGCTGAAGAAAGATTTATTTTGCTTTCAGGTAAGAAGAGTCAGTGTGGTGTAGTGATTAAGAGCGGTAGACTCGTAATCTGGGGAACCGGGTTCACGTCTCTGCTCCTCCACATGCAGCTGCTGGGTGACCTTGGGCCAGTCACACTTCTTTGAAGTCTCTCAGCCTCACTCACCTCACAGAGTGTTTGTTGTGGGGGAGGAAGGGAAAAGGAGATTGTTAGCCACATTGAGACTCCTTTGGGTAGTGATAAAGCGGGATATCAAATCCAAACTCTTCTATTAACGGTGCTACAGCTGAGAACCTACTTAAAATGACTACCATTGTGTATATTTAAACAAAAGCTGTGAGAAGCCTGTTGCTGGACAGCAGGAGTGGCCCACTGCCCAAGTTCCTGGGTTTGGGGGCACTTTCCCGTGTCAACGAAGGGAGGCACCTAGGGATAAATCTGATGGTGAACTAGCAACTTTGTCTCTGAGGATGTGGAGGTGATAGCACTGGTATAAACAAACCTTCCAGTTCTAGCATCTATGGGGGAGTACCCACCTCCTTGCCCAGTCCCATGTCCCAGGATGTCATCTGAGCAAATAGCTGTGCTTGCCCTGCTCTTCAAAATAAGAGCGCAGGGGACATAGCAATTGCTGGAACATCTTAGTTTATGCATAGCCTTGTATCATATCTCTGCAATGCCTTGTGACTTTGCAACCTGTAGACCCATGTTGGGATGTACTGATTTAAATGAAGCATTTAAAACTGCCTACTGTGGTGAAAGTTCGAATTCCAAGTCAGGCAGGGAGAGCCAAGAGTCCAAGACAGTTGGTGCAACGTGTAGAAAAATCATGAAGTTGTCTTCCAAAACCATCAACAGTTTGCAAGTGGTCCAGGTGGGTTGGTTGGGAACCACTGTTATATATACAGTATGCCTATACAGCAGTAAGTTCCACTGATCACCCAAGTAACTAGGGTTAGGATTGCAGCCTAAACTGGATACCACCATTTGCTTTTATGTTGCTTACTACTGATTTTGATAATTGGTAGTCCCACAAAAAAAAAAAACCCTCTCTGTTGTGGCATACGCATTTTAAAATTTTATATCTTACAAAAATATTTTCTTTGCCCAACATGTGCTCAAAGTGGCTTACAGTAATAAAGAGGGATGGGAAAATAAAGTTGCAATGATTAAAATGAGCAGTAAGCAAGATGCTAGTAAACAAAATAACTCTAAAACATGAGTATCAGCCAGTCAAAATCAGGCCTCTGAAAGGAAATGCCATCATCTAGAACAGGCATCCCCAAACTCGGCCCTCCAAATGTTTTGGGACTACAACTCCCATCATCCCTAGCTAACAGGACCAGTGGTCAGGGATGATGGGAATTGTAGTCCCAAAACATCTGGAGGGCTGAGTTTGGGGGTGCCTAATCTAGAAGATTATGGGACGCGGGTGGCGCTGTGGGTAAAACTTCAGTGCCTAGGACTTGCTGATCGTAAGGTCGGCGGTTCAAATCCCCGTGGCGGGGTGAGCTCCTGTCTTTCGGTCCCAGCTCCTGCCCACCTGGCAGTTCGAAAGCACCCATAAGTGCAAGTAGATAAATAGGTACCGATTTATAGCAGGAAGGTAAACGGCGTTTCCATGTGCTGCGCTGGTGCTGGCTCGCCAGAGCAGCTTCGTCACGCTGGCCACATGACCCGGAAGTGTCTCTGGACAGCGCTGGCCTTCGGCCTCTTAAGTGAGATGGGCGCACAACCCTAGAGTCGGACATGACTGGCCCGTACGGGCAGGGGTACCTTTACCTTTAATCTAGAAGATTAAAAAGAATCATCTCCTAGATCTTCCAAAAGTAAAACAAAGAAGAATAATTCCTTAGTTCTTAACGGAGGTCATTCTCCAGCCTGTGGGCAGCAGCTGTATGTAGAGCTTTGGGATGCTGCTGTGCTTGGGGGACTTCTGTAAAAAGAAGAAGCAGGAGAACACTAGGGGGTGATATTACACTTAGTTTATGGTGGGATGGTGTTCTTAAAATCAGTCATTGTCCACTTCATTGGTGGCTGGTGCTTTACAAATAGCAACAAATTCAGTTTCAGTGCCTTATGAAAGAGGGGTTTTAGAATGTGTACGAATACATTTTGACTACAAATACTCCAAAAGATATTGGCTATTTATTAAAGGGGAAGCAGATTGAAAAGATAAAAGAATTTCAGGGTGGGGGCATGAAGTGAGGGAAAAGATGGAGGTTTCTGGAAGCTAGTGGCTGGACAAATGAAAATCCTACTGTTCTGAACTTCCACCCCTAGTCTCGTCATAAGATTTACAGTCTTTGAGGGTGTAGGACACAACAAATAACCCACTTGATCTGCATTCTACTTTGCGGTGGAAATTACTCAAAATTAAACAGCTTTGAAGAAATTAAAGAGATGGGATTAACTTGATTAGAATTTCATCAAGTGAATGCCGTCTTTGGAAAAGATAAAAGATTGAAGGGCTTTGATAATGAATTGTCAAATCTGGAGAAAGATATACAATAATCAAAAGACTCTATCTAAAATGCATAGATTACTGATAGGCTGGCAACTGAAAGATGAAGAAATTAAAAATGGGATGAGAAAATGGGATCAGGACTTAGGCCACGTGATTGAACTTGAGAAGTGGAAAGAATTATGGACAAAAAATATAAAATTCAC